TGTCGGCTGCAGCCAGCGGAGGAGGAAACAAAAGGAAAAAGAGGGACGAGGCCGGCGCTACAGGCTGGAAGGGTAAATATGGTGCTACTCTAATAACATCGTGGTGTTCTGGAAAGAGACGGGATGTTCCCAGGCAGAACGCGCAAGCCTTACAGCGGGAGCATCGGGTTTGTGCAGCGTGAGCCGAAGGAGCAGCTGGAAATGGTGGGGGAAACGTCTCCAGGTGAAGATGGCGCGCTCTCCTGCCTCCTTCTCTTATCCAGGTTTAGTGACTGTAAATACGTGCCTCCTCGCCTTGTTAGCCATCGCTCCGATAGGTGCGACCGAGAGCTGTCCTCAGAGCCGCAGAACAGGGGACGAGGCTGGGGGACCTTGTTCTTGGTTGTCCCAGGAGTCAGACTGAGGTGCTCCGCCGGTGCCGGCATGGGGAGGGTTGGGGTTGCCGCTTCCCCGGCACAGACAGCCCCGAGCGAGGGATTTACCGTGGGCTGTGCCAGGCGGAGCAACCAAGAGCTTTACCTGTACAAAGGGATTCAAGTTCAGCCACTTTCTCAAGGAGTACGTGCTGTGGCAAAGCATAAAGGTGTGTCGATGCTGTTGGTAGGGGCAGAACGTCGGCAGATTCACGCCCGAGAAAGTGGGGTCATTCTCGTTATTACTGTTATTTTTTAAAGAGACCTTTCAGAAGCCGATGGAATTTAATGCATTGACCTATTAAAAGAGGAATACAAGCTATTTTCTTTGAGCTGTTACAAACCTCAGACACTTAATTTGCTGTTAGAAGTCTCCAAATATTCTCGCTCTATATTCTTTCCAAAAGTAACCACCGTCTATTTGGAAGCAGCTGAAGGCACTCAGCAGCTAGATTGCAGTTCTTCTCATCCAAATGCAGGGTCTGACTCTTTCAACACCCACCTCCGAGACGTTTTCTTCTTCCCAGGTTCTCTCCGAGTTCAGTAGCAGCTTTCACGGGAACGAGACTCACTTCTTTTACCTGTAGTTACTGAACTGTCAAACCTCATTGTTTTTTGCACTGATGATTTTTAGAATGAAAACCTGTTACCATCTCATGTAGCTACACCTCACCGTTTGTAGTGCATGATATTGCTAAGCCAGGGTGTGTGTGTGTGTGTATATATATACATATATGCATATACATATGCACACACATTTATATATATGTATATGTATATATTTAAAGAAAAAAAAAAAATCTGTGCAGAAGTTTTTCCAGCAGTAAGGAGACTGTAAGGAAGTGTGCCAACGATGTCAGGCAAGCTTAAGAAAAGGCCATATCTGAATTTTCCCGGTGTGTTTCTCAGTGGATGTGCCTGAGCCGATGGTTTGTGCGCTGCTGGCGCGAGCCCAGGGCTGGGTGTGTGGCAGATGGGGCCGGTGGCACCGAGACATGGGAGCGGGAGCACGTCGCTGTGCAGCAGCGGAGGGGAGCAGTGCCTAGAGCGAGGGCTTGCCAAAAAGCCCCGTAGTCCTGGCCCTCCTGGGTCAGCCCCTTCCCAGGGGTTCCCTCCTTGCACACACCCCGGGGGCTCCAGGGTGCCCATTTCCAGGCTCCCACTGGCCTCTTCCCATGGGGATTTTATAGTCCTACCGAGCTCCCCGACTGCGCGTAACCCTGCTCTCCCCCACCGCACTTTCCTGTCTTTATATCACTTTCTACTTCTGAGGATCTTATTTATAACAAAAGAATTTTTTAGACTGGCTGCTTCATTTTCTTACCTGTTTCGATATGAAGTGCAGGACGGCCGCACTGAGACACGCAGCACTGTGAACACCGCTCTGCCAACGGGCGCTGGGCCACGGTAGGCAAATCTTCGCTCCTCAGCCATC